TCTCTCTCTCTCTCTTATTAACCAATGTTGAGTCTTTGACGATTCTCACGTAACTATTTTATTCATACTAAACTCCACTCGCACATGTTATATTTATATCATCGTAAATGAGTTTCATTTGTTCTACCTCATTCCCATTCACACTTAGTCTATGATATTATTGTAGAAATGAATGTAGAAAAAGGGCCATATTGGCCATATTTATCTATGGGAGGGACACAATTATTCCGTGGGCCTTATCACTTGTTTTCCTCGAACGCGTATATGAGCTTCTCGGCCAAATAGACGGTTTCCATCGAACGCATATATGCGACGGTCATCGGCGAAGGATTAACCCTTTGCACTCGAGAATTTCTTGGCTAAAGAAGAATAGGAGTTCATAGATTTCCTTTTACAAAGCTGACGATATTTTTCTGAGCAGCGAACACGAAGACGTATGATAATTAACACGTAGAATTATTTGATGTCGATATCTCGCACACCGTTACATTGTCTGAAATTTGACATATTAACCGTTTGAGTCCCAAGCAGCGCGATGTAGTAAAAGAAAATGGACTTTTGATGAAGATGAAGTAAAAGAAAAATCAGAGAATCTTCTTACACGTGGGTGACCCGAAAGGGGTTGCTCGCATAAATTCCTGCACCACCGGTTGCATATTAACCGTTTGAGTCCCAAGCAGCGCGATCACGCTTTTCAGATTTTGCGTTGAAAAATTCCAGTGCATTTCGAGCGTTATGGGCAACTAACGGTGCTATCATTGATTGTCCAAGTGGTGAGCTAAACTTTACTGATGCACGTTCGTCACATAGCACCAACTATCGCGACGATTGGGATTTTTCGACATAAAATTTAACATCGGCGCTATCATGCCGATGGGCTGGTGCTTCTCGATTAAGACAAGTGGTATCGTTGTCTCTGGTTTTTCAATCGTGTTCTTCCAAAAGCCTCTGAGACTCAAACAGCTAACGAATATCGAGCTTCGAAATTTGATCGAATGGCGACTGAAGGGCGCCTCTCGAGCGCAAAGGGTTAATTATTCCTTGGATCCTAATCTGTCGCGCTTCGCGTGAATTTTCCATCTCGAGATGGATCACGATCTTGTCCGCGCTGATGCACGCGAGCCGATCAAGATTTTTAACCACTCGTGATCTATCCTCGATCGAGCTTCTTAGATCTGATCGAACGACGTGGACGATTCTTTGCAAGGTTTATCCGATAGTCGTATATTTTAATAATCAGCGACGTCGACCACGATTATTCACGCTTACCAGCGTTTACATAATCGAGCGACTAAGTGTTCGTCGAGATTGCTCGCTTGACGCTGCGCGATGATTTATCGCCAGTTAATGACTTTCGATTTCGTATTAATTATAGCAATGCCTCTCTCTCACACACGCGCGTGCATTCTCTCACTCTGTTTCCTTCTCCCTCCTTGCCCTCCAGCTCTCGGTTAATAGAAGCACCGTGGGGTCGTCGCTTGCTCGCGTTGCAACGTGTTATTACGCCGAGCGTTTTCGTTGCGTAATCGGCCAATGGACACACGATAAAACAGCCAAAGTCTTGGCCGGTGGCGATCGAAACGGGAGAACGTTGGTATAAGAAATAGCAGCAGGAGTTTAAGCGTCCCGCTAATGCGTCTTTATGTAATTACGCTCGCGTGTAATTGCGTTCGCGTTAATGGGGCGCTTGTTACGAAATGGGAGAAAAAGTCACTGTTGGAACAATGCAATGATTTATCGTCTCCGAAATGCCAACTTTTTGTCCCTCCGCCGTGATTCCATCGGAGTAACGAATAAATTCTATAGGGACCACTTGTCTCGATGGTTTTACGGTTACTTATGGTGATCGATAATCGGGATCGAGGATTGGAAAATTCGCGTATTTTCTTCCTAATGCTTTTTGACGATTGGTCCCAAAGATTGCGATATCGTGCGAGACTCGTGGCAAGGATATCGGGTTGAACGCGATAGTCACGGGCGGGAGACGTGGTCTGTAGCTAGCGCTCAACGTGAACAGCGTGGGTCAGACTCGCGGTTAGTTTTCGCTGATGTTTTCCTGGTTTAGTAGCGCGTTATTTCTCGCCACGTTGGCACGAAGCTGCTCGACGTGTCGGACACTGCCGTTGACTATGACAAGGGGTTAACACTTTGACTGCCAGGTTGGTCATATGTGACCTGCCACGGTCCTTCTGTGACGCCACGGTGGTCGCTGGTGACGGGATCGCTTAAATTATTTACAATTGCAAAAATTGAATGCAAATTGACAATCAGTCAAGCTGACAGGTGGTTACCCGTGACTGCCAATAAGACAGACGCTGCATTGGATAAGAATGTTGCTTCGTGAGAAGACAGCACGAAAATTCTGGAAGCTTAAAGGCTTTGGACAATTCTTGTACACTTTATTAACCCCTTCGCGTACTTTAACGAGTCTGATTCGTGATGAAGATTTTGGCCCAAAAATGAATTTAACGAGCCAGACTCGCGAATAGAAAATTGGCCCATATGGCTCGTGGACATATCGTATTTGTATTAGGAAAGAAGAGAGAACGGGTCAATAGAACCGTGCTTAAAACCCTTTCGACTTGAAACGTTTTACATTTTTCTTCCGTTGTGGATGCTTAACAATCTTTTATTTCTTTTTATTTCAATCTCTTATTTCTTTTAGTCCCTTATTTGTATTTCGACTAGTATCGCGACTGTTTTCGAGCATCGGTCTAGTCGTTTGGGCCCGGATTTCGTCGAGCTAAATTTCACGGGAAGGGGTTAATTAACAAATAATAATATCGCTCGTCCTATCTTGGTTGTTTATAATTGCCGCTCATCAGCCATAGTTATTTAGCCGGCATGATGTCTTCCACGGGCTACTCATGGGCCCTCACCATAGTCGCGGACGACGACCCTTGTTACGACCCTTACCTACGTTCAGTCTAACACGTCTTACATCTTATATTATTAATTAATTTATTATTAATTTTCCATTATATGCTTCGAATAATAAAAATACTCCCACGGCGTCCTCAGCGAAACACGTGACTTCGGCGTGTCAGTCAAAGGGTTAATATCGCGAAATTTCGCTGATATTCTCGCGATCGCGACGACGAAACGTGGCTTCCGAGCGTGTCCGCGTGTATGCTCGCGCGTATCCGTGAGAGTTACATTCACCTGCAGTGTGTTTGGACAAATCAATTTGCAGTTGGCGCTGTTGGGTCGCGAAGTTCGCAGCTTGCCATCCCGCAAGAAGTCGAAGTCACCGAGTAACTTCGTTCCTTCCTAATTGCGCGAGCCAATTATTATTCGAGAACTTGCCGGGAAACAGCATTTCGAAAGTCTCAGACATTATTTACTCTGGCCTAGAAAATTCTTCGTCCATTTGTTAGGGACCCTCCGCGTTGGCTGTAGGTCGGGTCAAACTTTCTCTGTTTCGTCGAGATCGAAGGCGGTCGAACGCCCAGGCGTCGCGATTTAACCGAGTTCGTTAACGCGTTAAACGCCACGGAACGTTCACGACATAGTTAGCCGTCATTCGGGCCCTCGCGGGCCGTGCGGACTGACAGCCGCGAGGCCTGAACGGAGAGTCTAGCGCCGGTCCCTAGACACCGACGTGGCGTTTGACGCGTTAAGCAGAGATTACGGATACCAGTGATACGTGATAATGTAAGGTTGAAATTGGAATTTTTGGTGCAGCAAGAAGGCGGCCCGAGCGGACCAACGGGGATCCAACAGTGCGCCGGTTGCGGCGGTCAAATAGTGGAAAGATGGCTGTTGCTGGCGATGGATCGGTATTGGCACAACGGTTGCCTCAAGTGCACGTACTGTAGCGCGCCACTGGCGGAAATCGGCCACTCGTGCTACACCAAGCGCGGCATGATCCTCTGCAAAAGCGACTACAGAAGGTAAGGGTGTATTCACGTTGCTCTTGAAAGTAGCCCGGCCTTGCGACAACCTAATGGCGCAGGCACCTCGCGAATTTCTCCGACTTACTAGGGTAGATTCGCGATATTTCCCTTTTAGGCCCAACGCAAAGGTCCCAATAATTACTTCGAGCTTGGAGAAAAGAAAATTTAATCGCAAACGCGGCTCTCTTTGGCGTTGCAGAAATATTATCGTAGGAATTATGGGAAAAGAAAAAGAAGAAAAACTAAACTCGGTTTGAACTAAAAGAATATATATTTTTGTGTAAAGCGATATGGCGGTGAGGCCTAGCAAGAAACTGAACCGACGACCTAACGGCACAGGTACCTAGGGTAGATTCGCGAAATTTCTCTTTTGGGCCCAACGCAAAGGTCCCAATAATTACTTCGAGCTTAGAGAAAAGAAAATTTAATCGCAAACGCGACTCTCTTTGGCGTTGCAGAAATATTATCGCAGGGATTATGGGCAAGAAAAGGAAATAAATTAAATTCGCTTGGTTCGAACTGAAGGAATATATATATTTTTGTATAAAGCGACGTGGCAGCGAGGCCTGGCAAGGAACTGAACTGTCGCGTTCCTAACGTCGCTGAAAAAGGGAAAGATTAACCCTTTGCACTGCTGCTACGGCGGTTGCCGAAGCGCGAGCTGGCGAGAACGAGCAGGGGGGACGTGGGACACAGCTTCGTAGAAAGACGGGGCGCGAGAGGGAGGGCGGGAACAATTAAAACACATTTATACGCCGGCCAATTCGTGATCACCATTCTCGTCGGCGCTGGGCCCTGAATAGGTCCCTGGATGACGTATTAACTCGTATTTGTCTCCTGACAATACCCGGCTAAACTCTCTGCCCAGGTGTCCGACGTTTTACACTCTTCCATCTCTCTGGAGGACGTACGGACGACGAGCGTGCATGCTCGGAATTATAATGGGATAGACCATAACAGGACGAGAGACCAAGGGCCACGGAACAAGCCGGGGGAGTCCCAGAGGTAACAGGATTTCGTGAAAGGAAAAATTTCATTTGACCTGCCGCCGGGGGGTGGGGCGCAGGGGTGCAGGCGGATCGCGGAGCCCGCGGTGTCGTAAATAGTCCGTTCCAGGACGTAATAATAGGGCCGGGTTAGAAAGTCGATCGAGCCGAAACGACGCACGCGTGAAAAATTAAACGCGTCCACGCTTTCGACGAACGGCTACCACTCGAAGATGGAACGACGTTTCTCGCGAGTCCGCGTTTCACGGAGCAGCTCGGGCAAACTTTGCGGTGCAAGTTCGCGGGACTTGTAGAAAAATAAGTGGAAAAAGAATCGTCGGTTTTTATTTGCTCGCGTGTCTTCTAACGCGACAGCGTCGTTTCATCGCAGCCATAAAAATTGCGGGGAAAACTGTAGACCGTGGTTCATCCTTCGCTATAGACGGTATTGGGGAAGGAATATCATCGGTATCGGGGAACGCTGAAAATTACAGGCTGCGCCATCGCGTTGTCGCGCTCTGAACGAGAGACGTTGCGATTATTATAATTTCGCCGAGCGTCATACTGTCGCGTGACAAATTCGATACTTACGTAAGAGAGAGGAATTATTCGATGATATTATTCGAGGATATTTGGTATATTCTTTCGGAGAGCATGCGTTGTCTCGCAGGTAGCGAGAGGAAAGGAGGAGACGGGGAACGCGGAGTCGGTTGCGTTTTGGATTTTCGATTTAAAAAATGCAAAGGAGAGCGAGGATAAGGGACAGGCGAGGTGATCGATAAGGGGCGAAGGGACCAGCATCGCCGGCCCTGTCGGTACAGTTCCACATTCCACGTTCACGACGGGTGGCCCGTTCTTCGAGTATCGCTGTCTTCCTCCGCTTCGCATTAGAGACACGACAGTTCCGTTGTGTGTTTTTGTGATTGATCACGTGATCTCGTCATTCGATATAATAAGATTCGCTTTAATCTGCCGGGAGATGGAACGACGCCGCCACGGTCGCAGATTACCGCATACCGAGATAAAAACTGTTAAGCGCCGTTCCTCCTACTCCGTCTCGCATATTATTTCTCTGATGTAACAATGTAACGTTGCCTCCCAAGACGTTCAGACGCGTCACTCCGTCGCGGAGAATATTCCTGGCACGTGTGTCATAAGTAGTCTGACGTCGATCGCTCGAAATTCGACGGGAGAAATTTTCGGGTTGAAACAGATGCCTCGAATCCGAGCTCGATTCGCTTTATAGTCCAGATCCAGCATCCACCCAGATCCGTTACTTATCGTGTAGGAATTACGGGAAAAGAAAAAGAGGAAAAACTAAACTCGGTTTGAACTAAAAGAATATATATTTTTGTGTAAAGCGATATGGCGGTGAGGCCTAGCAAGGAACTGAACCGACGACCTAACGGCACAGGTACCTAGGGTAGATTCGCGAAATTTCTCTTTTGGGCCCAACGCAAAGGTCCCAATAATTATTTCGAGCTTGGAGAAAAGAAAATTTAATCGCAAACGCGACTCTCTTTGGCGTTGCAGAAATATTATCGCAGGGATTATGGGCAAGAAAAGGAAATAAATTAAATTCGCTTGGTTCGAACTGAAGGAATATATATATTTTTGTATAAAGCGACGTGGCAGCGAGGCCTGGCAAGGAACTGAACTGTCGCGTTCCTAACGTCGCTGAAAAAGGGAAAGATTAACCCTTTGCACTGCGAGCAATTTTTAATACGACCTACCAGCAACTCCGAGTCATTTTACCTTTCCTGTTAGCTTTTATAGCACGATGTTTACCGATCAAGTAGCATTTCATTTTCATCTGTTCTTCTGCCAATGGTGTACCGGTATAATATCTATCGGTAAACACACGGTAACCCTGTGTTTCTGGAATTTTATCTAACAATATTTGATATAAATTCAGCGGAGTTCTAGTGCAGCAGCAGTGACAACGGAGTTACAGGCTATCTTGCGGTGTCGCCATAGCTGTGACAACAGAGTGCAAAGGGTTGAAACAAATACCGGTGCAGATCCTCGCCAGGCCGATGCCGGCCCAGGCTACACGCTCGTCATCATAATTCTGGATTTCCTTGCTCAGGTTTAATATCGGATCTACTAATTATCGCATTCGAGTAGCCAAGTAGGCAGGGCAATTTGAAGTTTAGATAATCACGTATTTATTAATACGATAAATTAAAGCGGTAGGATGAGAATGGATCCTCGAAGGATCCTCACGGATGCTGGAAGCTCTAAGAAAATATCGTCCATCATCGAATACTTATATCTTCAAAAATCACGGTGAAACGATTTCTTCGCGTACGATGTATCCGGAGCGTGTAAAAATTCCTAAAACCGTGTAATATCAGGTCCCTGCGTTAAATACCCGTCATTCTTCGCAAACTCGTCGAAATCACTTTTTCAACAATTATTCAAGATACGAGCAAGGGTTGGTTCATCTTCTATATCTACTCTGCCTTTAGTTATTTTGATTCGTAGATGTCGATCCAACTCTTGGGATATCTCACAAATGTGCCAAGTAAAATTCGGGCAGGATTCGCAAGCTCGCGAATTGATAGGCGAAAAGGGGAAGCATCTTTTTCCCTCTGGATATTCCATCGCGAAACCACTGTCAATTATTCGTCATATATCGTTCCACTGGTTTTTACCAACAAAGTGCTCGGTTCTCAATGTCATTAACTCGATTGGAATTGCTGCTCGGAGCTCGGGTTGAATCAAGGATGAATCGGGCGCCATTTCCAAGTAGTTGCAAAGTTCGCCACACGTGCGCCAGTTTGAACGCGAGGCATTCGTCTCGGTGCGAATGATATTTTACAAGTTGTATTACGAATGGTCGGGAACGGGAGCGTAACCCGAAGGGATGACCCGGTTGTTCCCGCGGAACGTCCCAACTCGCAGCCGTTGATTGATCGCGAAACAGGATTACACGGCACGAACGTCGCGTTTCGAGCTTCATTAAATCGCAGACACGCGATTGCTCGACCGATTAATTCCGTGGCCGCGTTGGTATCAGCCGGTTCGATTATCAAGCGCGTCCGCGATGACGAAGAAGTCGTTCCGGGGGAAGACGTAAAAGTTGGCCACGGTTGGGGAAGGAAAGCTCGTTGGTTACGCGAGCGGTTGCATAAGCCGGAGGAGTTGGCCAGAAATGAACGATAATTGATACGCGCGGCGTTTTCACGCTGATAAACGCTCAGCACGGGTGAATTAATCGCGCCACTTCCGGCGCATCGATGATTACCGACCGTGCAGACTCGTTGGCGCCAAGTATCGAGCAATCAACATTCCGCTCGCGCAAAATAGCTGCAATCTAGGAAGCTGTCACTTCACGGTGACACTTAGCCGCTGATTATACGCCGCTTCCTTCGTCCCGTTCTTCGAACACTGTTCGCCACGACGCTGTCCCGCGCGTGCGGAGTTCCCCGGCTTCTTTCCTGCCTCCAGGTATGCTTTGTCATTGATTTTTTCTCTCCTTCGTCATGCTCGATTCTCCAGTGATACGAGCATTTGAATTGTCAATTCGTGGAACACAAGGCACGTGATGCTAGAATTTACCATTTTACTTCGAGGTTTAGCGTCCCTCAACTCTTTGGGGCACGCTGGGATTGACCCTTTGCACTCGAGAGGCGACTATCAGGTCGCCGTTAGATCAAATTTCCAAGATCGATATTAACCCTTTGCACTCGACGACAATTTTTCGTTACAGAAAAATTGTCATTCGAAGACTTTCTGTCACAGAGTCGACGATATTTTTAAAATGGTAAATGAGAAATCGTATGCAAATTAAGACGCAGAATTATTTTTCTTCGACATTCCACGCGTTGTTGGGTAATTTCAAATTTGATATATTAATTAACGTCGATCTTTAGAATCTGATTAAATGGTCAGGTTAACCCTTTGCATTCGAGAGGTGACTTTCAGTCACCATTTCATAAAATTTGGAAAATCAATATTAATTAATATGTCAAATTCGATGTAATGTAACATTGTGCAAGGTATCGA